TTTTGATAGTCGTGGTATTGGGGCATGAATGGTACAAATTGAGAAAATTGTTAGGGAGGTCTAATGAAATAAAAACAAAGTAAGTGAAGTATCAACAATTAGTTGGTTTAGTAGGATGAGGTATTAGATTCTTTAAGTAAGGTTAAATGTTCGAATCCTGATATTTGTGTACGGAATAAACTAAATTAGAAGGATCACCCAGTAACGAGTTTCTATAATACTCAATCTGAATTAATCAATCAATAAATCGTATACAAGTGATTAATTCAAAAAATAGTGAGTGAAGTCTCTCTTGATTTCGACGACACAATTATAAAACCAAATTCTAAATAGCAAAATTGTAGAAAGCCATGGTGGCAGCTGCGCAGGTGGAAGGGCACCCATCATGTGATTTTCCCCCATACCCCAAGCGGGTTATTTTATTAGGATATTAGGCGGGTCCAGATTTTATTTTTGAGAAATACGACAAATGCTACGGTGCACATGGAGGTGTCGAGTTCCCTCGGATATTATTTTTAAATCTAGGTGACTGTCGACTCTACTGAGGACGAGGTTATTTTTGCGTCCTGAGCATATCTTCTCCAACTGATCGGATGAGTATTATTACCAGATAAATCCTGTAATTTGGCGCACACTCAGTATCTATGATTTTTGTTAGACTTCGCTGTGTATCGTAATACTAGTTGGGGCTCGACGATTTTAGCCTTTTTGTACAAGGAGCTTTGCAAGGTTACAATTGCCCAATCGGGTTGCAAAGACGTTGTAGCAAACTATCTAATACTGCTACAATCTTGGGCTTGGTATTGATTCCTTTTTTTACTCCAATTACCCCAGCCTCGGTCGAGGTTCCTCTGGCTGCAAGGTAATTTATTTAACTATTTTTTTCAATTTGATTAATTTAATTATTTTTATTTGTTGATAATTTTTTTAAAAATATTTTAGATGACGTCATAAAATAATCAATACAAAGTTAGCGGATGCCACTACACGGGATATACGGATGAGGATCAACATCGTCGATCGATATGCAATATGCATTTGTTCTTTTATTATTTTTTTTAATTTTTTTTAACTTTATATATACTAAATTTTACATTTAATATTTACAGTTTTCTTGACTTCCATATGATGATGACGAGATCAACCAATTATTTCCACCGCAATATTTGAGGGGTCCGAGTTATGGTGTGTCATGACGTTGCTATTACATTTTACGATTGTTGAGTGGCACGACGCTGATAGAGTAATGCGACAGTTTGCGTCGCATCACCTAATTCCTACGTAAAGCATTGAAATGGAAGTTCTCCATACAATCAATATGCGTAGGAAACATACTAAAAATTGGTCGGTGAGAAGCGCTTACTACATCGGGCTATGGAATCAGCTTCAACTATCGATCCCCCGCGTTATGACATTACACCGCAAGACCTGGATTTCAACCATATTCCCTATCTCCGAAATTATGAGGCAAATGGGAAACCATATTTCACAACATCGTAAGAGAGGGGAGAATGGGAACATCATCAGGCCACATGCGCCAAGTCTAAGTCTAAGTCCAAGTCCAAGAAAAAAGTATTGTCGTCATCTTCTTCCGCTTCAATATCTGCAGGTGATTAGTGCTTAAATTATGCATTATTTTGTTAATAATTACTCATTGATTAGTTATTTTAAGTTGCTAATTTGAGCTTTTTCGTTCATTTTTAATGCAGGTCAGTAGAGTCCAGAAATATTGTTAAAATTGATGAAATTGTGCAATTTTTTATTTTATTGAGTCGTGAATAAATTAGTGGGCATGACTTTATGTATGACACGTCTGATGTGGGGTCCAGTCAACAACTTCTAGAAGGCCCAGTCAGCAGCTTGGTGGAAATAGGAGATTCAACTGCATTTTTTAAATTTAAATTAGAATTTATTTTTAATTTTAGGAATTATCTTTCATAATTATCTTTTAGTTTGAATGTAATCTTTTAGGGTTTTTGAGGACTATAAATACCTGGTAAGCCTCAATTGATCTTTGATTCATTCAACTCTTGAATTCTCTTGTCACTTTTTTAGTTTTATAAAAGTCTTTATTTTTCTTTCGTTTTATTTACCTTTCAAGTTTTACTTTAAGTTTTCCAAAACCAAAAGCTGAAGCGATGACTCGATTCTAAATCTTGAGAATTGAAAAGCACATTATACTCTTCAGGGTTACATTTTCAGTTTTCAAAAATCAAGGATTAATAATCGACTATCCTTTACAATCAATGCGATTTAATTTCAAAAAGTGCACGTTGGAATTGAATTTTGGTTTCGATTAATAGTTGGGAGGAAGGATCAGCCTGTGGCACATTTGACTTTCTGTGAACACACTTAGTGGCAGTCCGCTAAGAGAAACTAAAATCGGGTTAGATTCTCAATTGAGACGGTACAATCTGAGTCAGGTTTTTCCAGAATTTAAAGGTGTTGAATTGGTAACGATTTTAGATCTAAAAATTGATTTTAGATGCTCGACTCATTTGAGAGAAAAACAAGTTATAGGGGTTGGGCCATGTAGACTGTAACCGGCGTTATCCCTAAGGTAAAATCCTATTCAATGATCGATTTGAATTAAGGCAAAAGCTTTAGCCTAAGGCTGGATTTATCAATTGAATTTTCACTTTAATCTTCTTAATTTACTTTCTTCATTTTTCTTTGAATCAAATTTTATCTTTATTTCAACTCTCAAAACCCCATTTTATTTATCTTTACAAATCACGCCAGAATCAAGATCAAAAGCAAGAAATTCGTCAACCTCTTAGTCTCTGCAAATCGACCCTTACTCTCTCTATAATATCTTTCATATTCTTTTATTGAGATTAAGGCTAAACTTTATTTTACATCAAAACGACCCGTTGTCAGTAGCTGAAGAGTACTATTATGCATCTCAAACTATTTTTGATTTCTATCCTCCATATCATACTTTAACGAGGACTCGACCGGCTTGGGTTGGAGGTTCATGGGATGCACCGTAATACACTCAAGCATCTTCGATAGAACATGTGGTTGTGAATGAGTGAGATCATATCCTATATGGTCAACAAAGTGGCAACTAAGTCGAACTAGTTACGACAATGATGGTGACAAGTACCATACACCCATCACCGTATATCGAAGGCGAATCACAGAGTGCGTTAAGTACACCTCCTCATCAAGATGAAGACGACGACGACGATTAAGGCCTACGACCCCGACGTACTCGACGAGCCCCACGCCATTATCATTCGATAACTCCTCACATCGTCAAGAACTTACAAATATAGATAAATTTTCTAAGTAATTTTTCTGTAAACAATTTAATTTTTGCAATTATTCATTTACTTTTTATTTTTTAAAATATAAATAAATTTAATTTTCTTCTTTTTTTTAAATTTTATCCGGCCGAACTCGTCCCGTTGAGGTTACAAGTTCCAAAGTGACTGTTGACATTTGCCTATTAATGTTACGAGTCATCTTAATGACAATAAAATAATAATCACATGGGATCCACTACATGGAGCCAATTTAAAAATAATATCAAGATGACGAGTTCCATATTTACTGTAACATTATCGTATTTCCCAAAATATGAGTTGGCTTAATACCTTAATAAATCAAACCACTTGGGGTATTGGGCCAGAAATGTCCCATCATGAGCATTGGTCCATTAACCCCACTTGCCCTAATCCCAAGCTTGAGCCGGTCAACATTTGCAAATTTGTGGGCCAATATGAATAAAGAAATTGTTACACACATATTGACTATAATTTTCAATTCCATTACACAATTATTATAATATTTATTGTCCGTGGCATGGGACGTGCACGGTTGGACTCTATTATTAGTTTTCAAATCAATTAAATGTCAAGCTTTGGACTGAAGCTTGCCTCTCTCTTTTCTTTTCCACATTGATTTGTTTTGTTCATTAATTCTATGTGGTAGCTTGGACCATAGGGCATTTGATCCTTCATTATTATTATTATTATTATTATTATTATTATTATTATTATTATTATTATTATTATTATTTTTCATTGATGGTGTGATTGAGATTTGAGAATTGTTAAGAAATAAAGATGATGCCTTGAAAAGTTTTGAATCACCAAATCACTACAATTTTGACACTTTCTTCTCAAGTTTAAAACGTGCTCATCATCTAGAAGGGATGGTATATTATGTACTCTATGCTTCTTCTTCTTCTTTTGTATTCTTTAACTCTTGAATGAGTCTTGATGTACATATATTGTATGAATTGCATGTATAACTTATAATTTCTACTACATTAACAAGAAATAGAAACCAACCATCACCTAATCAGTGTTTACCTTGACGAAATCAAATCTCTATTTGGTGTGATTTGAACACAACGTTTATTTCCTTCAACTTCTTTCACTACATAATCATCGAAGTTTTTGTTACAAATAATAATAATAAAGACAACGAAAGTCATGGAACTGCACGGCAACGAACCACGGAATAAAGAGAGCATCCCTCCACTAGATTATTACCTCAAATATAGTATGAGTTTTTTTATTTATTTATTTATACATACTTCTTATTTAATTTTTTTTCAAGAATTTGATAATAGACACTAAAATGTGATCATGCGTTCAGACTTGAGATCTTTATGAATATTAATTATTACTTTTAATTATTGAGATTGTTTAATTCGTACTAAAATATGATAATACATTCAGGAACTTTAGGAATAATAATCATTTTAAGAATTATAATAAATTCTATTTTTATTTTTAAATTAATGATAAGAATATTTATCATAATTTTGTCACTGATGAAAAATTATCAAATTATTATTCATAAAATTTACGAATAATTCCTCAATAAAAGAAAATAGAATTAAAATCCTAAGGAAGCATTAAAATTAACTAATTTTGTTGTACCTTCAAAGTACTCTTATCCGTACCTTCCCTCCCCTCCCTCCCCTCTGCTTTATATATTCCCCAATTCTCCTCTCCCTTCCAAGCAAACAGAACCATGTCATATTTCCAGATTCCGACGAACATGACAGTTGCTTAAACCCAACAACTTCTGTTCTCTTCGTTTCTTTTCTTTTCTTTTCATTGATTACTCAATGAAGCATCTCATCCGCCGTCTCACCCGCGTCGCCGACACTTCCTCGCAGTACAGACCTCTCCGTTCCGACACCGCCTCCATGCGCCATCGCATCGCGGTCGCTTCTTTGAAAAAGCATTTGCGCCGGTCCGTACCCGAGGGCCACGTGCCGGTATACGTCGGGGAAGAGATGGAGCGGTTCGTGGTGGACGCGGAGTTGCTGAACCATCCGGTTTTCGTCGGCTTGCTCAACAAGTCCGCCAATGAGTATGGATATGACCAGAAAGGGGTGCTTCATATTCCCTGTCACGTGCTGATTTTCGAACGTGTTATGGAAGCGTTGAGACTCGGGGCCGAGTCACGTGACCTCCAGGATCACCTCCGTTCATTATCCGACGACTGTTTTCTGGATTTGTAGTAGAGTAGAACGACGTCGTTTCTTTTTGGGATTTCTTTTCTTTTTGTGTAAATATAGAAACTAGTAGGGAAAGTAAAGGAAAATTAGGGTTCTCCCAATGTTTTAAAAATCGGATCGGACCGGTCGGTTCAACCGAGAACCATATGCTAGTCCGGTTTAATCTAAACTGGTTAAACCGCTATTAGTGAACCGGTCAGAACCGTTGAACCGTTCGAACCGGACCGGCTAAAAACCGAAAATTTTGTTTTTTTTTTTTTAAATTAAACCAAACAACGTCGTTTGTTAAACGAGCCAAGTCAAACTCGAATATTGCTGAGCTCGACTCGAACTTGAAAACTTTAAAAGTAAGCTCAACTCGACTCAAACTCACAAGCTAAAAATTATCAAGTTCAACTCAAACTCGAAATATAATATTGAAACTTGAACTCAAAAAGGCTTGAACTAAAAAAAATTTAGAAGCTCGATTGAAGCCTAAAATTTGAGCTTGATTGAAGTGAAAGAATAGTTCACTCAATGCTCACCAAAAGGCTCCATGATTTTAAATGTCAAATTACCTCTATTATTTATAAAAGTTAGTTGTGATGCTCTTCTATGTTTCTTAGCAATGTGAGATTGTTTTGTTCTCATATTTTTACTCTTTACACTTTTGGGATGCTCTTCCATGTTTCTTAGCCATGTGGGATTGTTTAAAAAAAAATTAAACCAAACAATATCATTTTTTATGATTTTTTAACCCCAAATTTATTTTTTAATTATAGTTATATAATTATATTTATTATTTAATATGTTTTACCTTAAATATTATTTTATAATTAATTTGAATCATTTTGTTTCACTTGATTTTATGACGTCGTCCGGTTCTTCCTACCTGTAACACCCCCAACCCGTATCCGACCCGGATACGAGTCCGAAGTGTCACATTGACTTTTCAAACATTTATTCGTATAAAATAGTGAGTAATTTAAAAACTTTGATAACATTTAACTTATTCAAAACATTTACAAAATATATCAGAGTTCATACAATTTTTATCTTTAGACTACATGCCAACTACACTCTATATACAATACCTATATTTTCTGATCTGACATTTGGTAAGGAGAACTGACCTGTCTTGCTTTGCATTACTCTTTACTCTTCTCGCTTTCCATACCTACGTGTGAAACAATCACACGCTAAGTCGATGACTTAGTGAGGCATATAAACCATATAATATAAACATATATCATTTCTTATAAATAAAAGGCATACGTCTGCGAATACTATCATTAATCCCTTTAACTTACCATATACTCATCATGTAATTTCTATAACATATACTCACATGTACATATATTCTTGCAATTTAACATCCTTACATAAATCCTGTGATCTATTACATATAACAAATCACATATACATATCATATTCAATATACTTATTAAATCTCTTTATTAGCCCATGTACACTGTTGAGAACTTAAGGTATGTGAGTACATTGAGGTTGTGCACTATTATGCTGTCACTACAGCTCATATAAATGTCCCGAAGGACCAGTCCATAGATTCCGAAGAACCTAGGTAATCAGTCCATATGTCCCGAAGAACATAGGTAAACAGTCCATATGTCCCGAAGAACATAGGTAAACAGTCCATATGTCCCGAAGAACATAGGTAAACAGTCCATATGTCCCGAAGAACATAGGTAACCCTCGACCCTTGGCATGCCAACTATACCCCTAGCTCTCATATCACATAACATGGGCATTATCATTTATGACCGTTCACATTACTTATTCATATTCTTTCTCTTATAAACACATATCTTTTCTTTTCAGTCACGTATCACATGTACGTGTAATCCTTGATCTCATAATCACATGTTCATTCTCTTCTATCACATACCAAATGTATGTGTAAGCACATATCTAATATCATATGTTGCATTTTCATGTAAGCATGTAAATCATGTAACATATAAACATACATCCATTTCTATGTACTAATGCACACAAAGTAATCACATAACATTATATAAGTTAATTCTTACCATAGTAACTCTATTATTGACTCATCGCAAGCCAATGTTTGATCAATCACATAAGTACAATTTAAATTGCACTCACCTTAGCCTTGCTTTGACTCGATTATAATCCTTTGATTATTCCGGAACTTATTTAGGCTCAATATCTACATAAATATATCATTTCAAAACAACTATCAGAAGCCTAAACTTTAAACTTGATGTTAATAATTTAAACCGGTTTAATGAATCAAATTCTATATTTTCATTTATGGGGGAATCGATACCCCCCCCAGGGGAATCGATACCCCCTGAACATACTGGAATTTTTCGTTCAAGAGGGGGAATCGATTCCCATTCATAGGGTATCGGTTCCCTCTACCCAGAAATTATATTCTAAGCTCGAAAATCATCAATTTTCAACTCAAACCTTCCTATTTCAATTCCTTTAATGATCCTAACTTTAATACACATACTTAAACTTATTTCTATTCCATAATCACTTCTTTAACTTCAAATCTAGTCATTCCTATGTAATTGCAAAAATTATACTAGTTTTGCAACATGTTCAAATTCCTATTCTAACACTTCCTATCCCTTAATTAACTTGATGACAAGTCAAATTCAACTTTCAATCCTCAATATACACTTTATTTCAATATTTCATTCAAAAACTCCTAATCTTTAAATCCTCATAAACTCTTCATTTTGTTGTTTTAAAGCAAATTAATCCTTCCTTAATCTTACTTAGCATCTAATAATCAAAACTAAACTTAAATTCCAGCACATAATCAGCTCAAGAGACACTCACCTTTGCTTGGCTTCACACGTGGAGAAGAGAAAAATGAAGAAGAAAAGAGAGAAGAGATTTCTGGAAAATCTCCCATCCTTATCCATATATATATATCATTTAATTATAATTTTCAAGTCTAATGACCATTTTGCCCTTTAATTCTTTGGATAATTACTATAAACTTTTAGGAAATATTTCCGAACAAATCATTAACTATTAAACTATTATACTTTAATCACCATATTCTGAAATTTTACAATTTTGGTCACTAACCCGTATTTTGGGATGTTACACTACCGGTCGGACCAGTTCGACCGATTGAACCAGTAAACCGATAGCATAATCGATTCGTTAACCGGTCCGATTCTGAAAACCATGATACTTCCCCCTCGTAGTACTTGTAATGTAAAGAGGATCGAATACAATGGAGGATTTCAGTTGTTTTTCCCCTCTGTTTTTGTTTTAGGATTCAATTTTCGTTCTAGTAATTATTAAAATAATAATATGAATTAATTTGGGTGGAACCAAAACCGGACAAGCTCGAGCTTGAGGTTTTCACAAGTGTAATTCAAGAATGATGCGGCTTTTAAATGCTTCAAATATTTTTGTTTGGTTTCCAAGAAAACGGAAGCTTGTACAAACCATTATTTTTTGGCTTAATCTCTAAATAAGTGCCCAAACTATACCTATGGTGCTGAATAAGTGCCTAAATTATTTTTGGCTCATCCGAGTGCTTAACGTTACAAATGTTAGCACTTTAAGTACCCGGGCTAGTTTTCCCTGTTAATTGACACATGTCACAACTTCGTAATGTTGACATTTATTTTTTAAAATATTAAAAATATTAAAAATATTATTATAAATTACCTGACCCTATTCTCATAAGTAATGTGGGTGAGGGGGAGGTAGGGTAGTAGGGTAGTAGACTGCCCCCAACGCTAGGTTGAGAGCAACTTCCGTGGAAGACCTCCAGCAATTATGAATTGCCCACCATGAGACTCCACGACCACAAAGTTAAGAGCCTTGCGCTCTAACAACTGAGTTAGACGGGCAATTCATTAAAAATATTATTATATTTATAAAAAAACTTAACTTTTCTTATATTATAAAAAAGCCCCAAAATCTCAAATCCTAACCTTAATCCGCCGTTGTCACCCTCTCCGACCATGACCACCGTCATCGACGTAGTCATTTCCATCATCCTAGTTATATGATGTCGTAGTTGTTGTCGATTTACCATTGGGATCGTGTGGGATTGCGATTTTCATTCTAGGGTTCGCGGGATTTAAAACGTCAATTTGTCGTCGATTTGTCACGATTTCATAGGGGTTTTGGTCGCCAGGGAGAGGGGAGGTCGGGTGGAGCTTCTTCGACTACAAAGGGCGGTGATCGGTGTAGGTTTAGGGGTTGAACTGAAGGTTTTCAAAGTTTAGGGGTTATTTCAAAATTTATGTATTTTTTTAAAAATATATAATTTTATTAAAACTTTTAAAATTACCAGGTTATGACACGTTTTATTTAATGGGAAAAACTAATGCCATTGACGGCCCGGGCACCTAAAGTGCTAACATTTGTAACGTTAGGCACACGGATGGGCAAAAAAAAATGTAGACACTTATATCACAAAAAAAGTATAGTTTGGGCACTTATTTGGACATTAAGCCTTTTTTTGGCTTACACTAGAAATAGGTATTAAAATTATGGGGTTTTTTCATTTTAAGTGTTTGAAATATTTTTTTTGTCAAAATTTGTCTTTAAACTATTATACATATCATTTTAAGTACTTAAATTATATTTTGTCAAAATAAATCTTTAAACTAGGAATCTTTTTTGATTTAAGTCCTTAAACTATTTTTCTTATCAAAATAAATACACAATTTTATGTGACGTGTCAATATTTTATTGGTCAAAAAATATTTTTCTAACTGAAAAACGATGAGACTTAATGTTTAAATATAATTGTTTAAGAACTTAGATCAATAAAAAATATAATTTGAGTATCTATTTTAACTTTAATTTTTTCATTTTCTTGGAATCTCAGTAGAATATAAAGATGCCCCAATTTGACTTTCTTTTTCTCCTTTTAATTTCCATGGTAGGTTTTCTATATGCCCGAAACAATAGGCACCGGAGAAAAGGGTATTTCGGTAAGGTTGAAAATTGGGATAGGTTATTACAACTTTTAACGTATAAAATTATTATTTAATATATGGGTAAAGTATACAAATGGTCTCCAAATTATATGATATTATTTTCCTGAGTGCCCTTACTATTAAAAGTTATAAAAT